CAACGTGGGGATCAGGGGTACTAACCCCCTGCATAGCCGAAAACTCACATACAACTTTTAACTCCTCAAAAACTTAATTGTTAATAGCCTACTGTTGATTGGAAGCCTTACTGATAACATAAAGTTGATTAACACACATTTTTTATGTTATGTGTATTATGTACTCATTCTTATAATAAAGTAGGCTAGAGGGAAAAAAAGTAAGCTTGAGAAAAGAAATCTCCAGAATATTTTAAAATATGTTTATTAAGAAAAAATCTACATTTAAGTGGACCCACACAGTTCAAACCCGTGTTGTTGAAGGGTCAACTGAAGTTTCTTCAGAATTCTAGATTGGACCCACACAGTTCAAACCCGTGTTGTTGAAGGGTCAACTGAAGTTTCTTCAGAATTCTAGTTTCTTCAGAATTCTAGGGTGGGTGGATTGGTTTAATATGCAGTAGACAGTTTACAAAGGCCCTTTTGTGTTGACTAGCTTCCTTGATGTTGTTTTTTTGGCAGATGGCAACAACTGTTCATGAGCCTACAAAGTTCCAGGAAAGGTGCAAAATAGAGTTCAGTCTCTATTCTGGACAGGCTCCCAAGTTTTAATAGAGCCTGTTGTGTGGTCAGGCTACAATTTTGGGGGGCATGAAATTACATGGTTCTAAGACTAAGAATTGGGCTCCCAGAATGAGAGCTTATTTTGTAATCCCCACTAAACATTTTCGCAGTTAACTTTACCATCTTAATGGCAAAGTAGTGAGCACTAACTTTGATAAGATGTGTGATTAGAATTTTAGGCAGTAAATTTGGCCTTCTTTTGACTTTTTTTACAAGTTGAAACATAATTGATTATACATATTTGTGGGGTACAGAGTTGACTATTTGTATTTGTGTTTGATATGTGATGATCAAATCAGGATAATCAGTATATTATCACTGCAAAACATAATCATTCTTTGTGACCATTATCCAATTCTCCCTAACCCTCCTCCCAATCCCCCTTTCCCACCTCTAGTAACCACAGTTCTCTTCTCTTCGGATAGTTCAACATATTATTGTGATTGTTCTTTCTTCTTTTATTGCTTTCCTTCCTTCCCACCCTCCTTCCTTCCTTCCACTTATGAGTGTTGGCTTTCTTTTGATAATCATGCCAGAAAGGAATGAGTTAGATCAGTATGGTGGTCTATCAATTGAAAAGAAAAGGGAAGGGTCTCCATGGGAAATGTTGCATTAAACAAAATCATTGATTTATTAAAAAAAAAAAATTTTTTTTTGAGTGCATATGCAGAGGTGAACAAAACAGATGATCCTTGTCTTCATGGAACTTAGAGTTGAGTGAGTTTATATTTACTGTTATGATTTCTCATTCTTTTTTTTTTGGTGGCTGGCCACCACCGGGATCCTAAACCTTGACCTTGGTACAACACTGT